GGTATTATTGTACTTCAAAATTCAGCCAAAATTTGATAGTTGAGAAAATAAATAAAATGGTTGTATACATTAATAAATTGCCAAGAACAAGGTACATGTATATGACAAAGAGTTCCTAAACAATTTGACTGACGTTGACAAAAGTAATAACTAGTCCTTCTATCATATTTATTTTTCTTTTGCTAATACTGTAAAACAGCAATTTTCGCTAAAGGAATGATTCAGTGAAATAAAATCCAGCGAATATACTTTTTTTTATATATTTTACATTCAACTCTTCAAAAATCAGTGAAAATAAAATCCACACAAAACACCCAAAAAGTTTTTTCAGCGAAAATTAATTCCAGCTAAAATAAAGTATTTCACAAAATCCCTCCATGGGGGTTGATGTTGTGTGTTAGTAAATAAATGAAATCATAATAGATTTAAGCTTACGTAATCTCATACGTTTGCATATACTTAGCCTGTGCAAGGCGTTGACATAAACTTTGTTAGTCTGTGCTAAGGGCCTGGACTGAATCCTAAAAACAGGCCAGATTTAATCCGTACTTAGCATTTCTTACCCTGTGCTAAGCATTCACGTACGTTTTTTTAGCATGAGCTGAGGTATTTGGCCTCTTAGCCCATGCTAAAAAGAGCATATACAGGGACTGTGGCTAGACCCATGCAATTGCTTCACACACAGGCGGGAACAGCAGTTAACACAAGCTAACAAACATTCAAACTTGTTAAGAATATACAAATCTTCAGTCCTTTTAACTACTAGTATGTACAGTTTTACCAACACATACTGTAAAATACTTTTTTTTGCTTGGAATTTATTTTTGCTGAACGGAGAATTTTTTCCTATATTTTACATTCAACTCATCAAAAAATCAGTGAAAATAAATTCCATACATTACACCAAAAATTAATTCCAGCCAAAATAAAGTATTTTACAGTATTCAGAAAGTGCAGATTGACAGGAAGTACCGGGTAGTACAGTCTCACCGTCAGTTCATTTTTCTCAAGAAAAATGTTCCTAGATGTGTTCATCATTGTCTTGTCGGAAATTGCATACCGAAATGAATAGTTATGAATATAATAGAAAATCTTCCAATTGAATACAATGAATACGTTCGCACATACCTTGTAGCTAAGGATCTGGACCGGGTCTTAAAAACAAATCAGATTTAACCTGTGCTAAGCAGCTGTGTGTGAATGCTACTATAGACTGGTGAATAAATAAACCAAATGTTGAGATTTAAGGCCCTAAGAATAATCATTTAATAACAATTGTGAGAATAACGCTCATTTTTGCAGGAAGTGGAGACTTATTATTTGGAAAAGAAATGGGGTCCTGATGGAACCGAGAAGAAGGGCGTAGACCCAGAAACAGAAACTCTGGCCATAGTGGAACAAATGAAAGGTTCTCCTGAGCTTGTGGAAGGTTAGAATTAAAAGTGCATGTATTGTTACTTGACCAATTACTAATAAGTTAATTATTAATTTAATCAATTCCCGTTCCAAATCTATTAGATTTATGATTTCCCAGTTTGTTTTTCTCCTGTAGTTATTTTATTGCTTTCTAACCAGAATAAGAAATGTATTTTCTAAATGGATGCAATAAACAGTATTTCATCATCGCAAAAATCCTTCAACTATAATAATTGTTCGAGTTAACAGTTACTAGCTTGCAAGTAAATGTACAACTGTCTTATCAAATCTATAAAAACTATCACTTTAAGGCAAGACAAAACTTTACAAGTAGAGCGAATCACAACAAATGTTTAGTAGCAGTGAGCATTTCACTGAGGTCTCTTCATCATGGGGAATGCATATGAAGAACATTTTCACTGCGAGGTCTTTGCAAATACCTACATCAGGCAAATTTCTAGCAGCTAATATTTACAGTACATTTTAGTGAGTGTAAACAAATTTTGATGTGATTTATTCGGCAGACGCTGTCAATTCACTACGACAAACTCAAGCAAAGCTCAACGCTGAAATTACTGAGGTCAAGTCAGAACTCATGAAGCTGCGAGAGGGCATGTGATACCAAGAAATGTTATTTATCACTTCTTGACTTACCACGGTTGAAGACTATCATCAGAAAGTTGATTGATCTATTTGTGGTCTGGTATTCAGAATCTAAGCTACGTTACAAAGATCACTCCACACATGATGTACACTTCAACCGAATCATATTTATTTTTTTATATTCAGTTAAAAGAAAAAAGTATTTACATTTTTATTACAAAGTTATTTTGTACACCACTCCCATAGTAGACATATGGCAAGAGACTCAAATAGATCTTATGGAAACTGAAACGATATGAAAAGTATTGTGACCTACAAAAGATGACAAGTGATTATGTTGTGTGGAATTCTCCAAGCCTCAACTGATTTCTGCCATTGGTGGCGTTGTTGAGGGAAGAATATTTAGCATGAGAAATGTGCGATGGGATGTAATTCTGTTAAAATTATCTGAATAAATCGCAAAAAACAAAGTAAAACAAACGTTTTCTGGTTAAGTGACGTCATAATGCTCTGTTCATCTTTCTAGTGTTTTTGAGTGTCACTATAGAATACAAGAATATTTGCCTGTGGCAGAGACTGATTCAGTGTGTTCAGTTGTGTGGCAGATCCACAAAATCACAAACAATTAGATGTTAATTGAAACACAATGAGTACCATATGTTAAACATCACAAGGACCACGTTATTGCATTTTGGGACAATTCCCAAGATTCAGCCCAACAGTCAGTGTAAATAAGCATCATGAAAATTAAAATTTTCGGGCTCCAAGTTTCATTCCACCAGTTTTTTTGGCTTCTCGTTTTGCTTGAATTTCTTTTTCTCGCTGTATCCTCCTCTCTTCACGTTGCTTCCGTGCCAGCTCTGCTTTGCTGAGACCTGAAATAAATCAAGTCTCACTTTTATCCACACAGGTTTAATACATTTTCCATAAATATTTTGGATTGGATTAGCAGGTATTTTAAAATAATTTGGTAATATTCACTACCATAGTATTTGTTATTTTGATTGAGAAGTCAAGCAATGAATTCTTCATGTAGTGTACCTTGGTTTTCATCGGCTCCCCATCCATCACCCCAGTCTTCAAAACCACTGCTGCTCACTTCCACTTTGGATGTCATAGAGGATTTCTGCATTGAGGATTTGTTTGAGAAACTTCTAGGTTTGCCTGTGTTCTGTAGATAAAATAAGACATTTTGTTGACATTATGTATAGGTAACATCACAGACAGTGGTGTGTCAAGGGCTGCTTCATTTTGAAGTAGTAGGTTAACACACTTCCCTCTACCACCTGTTGACACTGACCACTCAACAGCCAAGACCCCTCCTGTTTTATGACTTCACTTCCTGAAATACCTCTATTTTTTCAACAACACTGAAGCTTTCAATATGCAACAGAGTTTTTACTGTATTTTCATTGTACAATAATTTGACCAATTGTGTACAGCTTCACTAGAGGAAATCACCACTTGCTGGCGCTGTTGCCGATTGATTCCTCTGTCAACCACTGCTGCAATGTCTTAATTGGTTCCTGAAAATTATTACTGTAACAACCTAAATATAGGTGTCAGGCTATCACTATGTCCATTGTGGTACTCCCATGGTGCATCTTAACATGAATAGTAGAAGGATTATGTTTATATAACATACATGTGGCAGCGAGAAAAATAGAATTCATCTGTCTGTAAAATGCCTTACTACTAATAACAAGTCATTGAAAATGACACAGTCCCCGTTAAATTTTTGAAATTTTTGTGCTTGTCATATTAAAGCGGGGGTGGTTGTCATGAGCGTGTCCTTGAAACTTGAGTTCCAAGTGGCGTATACAACAGATTGTTTATTTACATCAAAACATGTGTTCCGTGTAGTAGTAATATGGCCAAAAATAAAAACAGCCGTTATTTGGCCATCTTTGATCTAATTATGAAACACACTGATATGTATGATGTATGTGCCAAATACGAATGAAAATGGTACATAAATTGTGGAAATATAGTAGTAAGGCCAAAAAGTCAGATTGCTGTCAATCTGCCATCCTTGACCAGATTTTGAAACAAATTGTCATGGACATGCATCCTAACATGTATAAAGTACATGTACATGTATGTGCCAAATTTGAATGAAAACTGACAGAGCACTTCCAAGATACCGCATCTTTGATCCAATTACGAAATAAATTGTCATGGACATGTAACCTAACATGTATAATCTATGTACCAAATTTGAATGAAAACTGACAAAATACAACATTTTCAAAAAACAAGATGGCTGCCAGTCGGCCATCTTTGATCAAATTGTGAAATAAATGTCATGGACATATATCCTAACATGTATAATCTATGTACCAAATTTGAATGAAAACTGACAAAGCATGTCCAAAATACAACATTTTCAAAAAACAAGATGGCTGCCAGTCGGCCATTTTGAATCGAATCGCTAAACCACTGCATGTGCATATGTCCCAGATAAAGTACTAGGCACATGCAAAGAATGAACGGAATCGGCCCAAGGGATTCTGAGATATGACTCCGGACGAACGCACGGACGGAGACCGAATTATAAGACTAATAAGGTTAGCTAATAAGTGATGCATTATAACATTAATAGAGAAGTGATAGCTAAGAATCTACATACATTGTATAAGCAAATTTACAATAACAACAGTGGCAATTTTTCTCAGGGTAAACAAAGTCAAGGTAACTCAAGTGACATTGCGTAACTCCTAAAAATCATGTACATTTCCGATGACAAAAACGTTCACCAACGCACATATAGTAACACCATTGCATCAATGACTTTATGGCCATACTGCGCAGATGACAGTGTTTGTTTCACTGTACAGAAATTTGACCAATTGCGTACAGCTTCACAAACTTAATTTGTGTCAAGTCAAAGGTAAATATAATATCAGTCAGCTGTTAAGCTTCCAATATATATCACCACAGCATTTTGTAAACTCGTGCACATCTCCAATCTGATTAAAATTATATTTTTTTCAATTTTATTAGTACTGTTTCTTTTTATTATTATTCCATACATCTTATTTTGCATTATTTCTTTTATGATTACCAAAACTTTTAAAAAACTGACAGCAATGAATAATAAAAAATAAATTAAACAATGAAAAAATAAAGCCCAAACTAAGATTTTAATCAGATTGGCATTACCACTGATTCAATGTGACAAGAATCAAAAAGGATCTTTACCTCTGCGGATGCAATCCCAGATGAACTAAAAAAGTCTGCAGTTGATTCTGCACCCCAGTTATAACTACTGGTTGTTACAAACTGTTTGTCCTCCTTAAAGTCTATATTATCATTCCACCCTGGTGGTGGTTTAACTGGTGGTTTAGATTTGCAAACTGGATTAGATTTCATTGGAAGACTGCTACCACCACCACCAGCCTGGGAAGACTATTGTAACATGCAAGACAAAATGAAAAATAATCTCAGCTATTTTTTTTTTTCAAATTTAAATTCCGGCATGCAATTATTACAAGGGACAGTGTAAAAGTATCATGCATATGGTCACTGTAATTAAAATGCTAGTAATATTGCAAATGAAGATCACAAATTCATTCAATCATACTAGAATATCAGAATATGCTCATTAGTATGCACAAAATTTGCATATTTCAGACAGTATTCTTTTTATGTAATTTATATGACAAGGAAATATTCATCTGTTCTTCATTCAACTATTTAAGAATAATAAGCAAAATATAGATTACATAAAACCAGTTTGTTAAGGTTTTACTTGGTTAAATCATGTAAAAATGTAAATCTACGAGGATTGTGGGTCTCGCTCACCACAACCAGTTTTTCACAAAGAAACAACACATATATATAGAGTTCAATAACGCTCCAAAAATGTAGCACCTTGAAGACTTGCTACCAAAGATACATACGGGAAGATTCTTTCTCACAACTGCCTTTGAGGAAAGTCCCTGGACCCAGAACAGAAAGTGTTGGGCTTACTAAAAGCTCCAGCTTGATTGCACATCTCCCACCAGAAAGGGCTAGGATGTCATTGACTGAGCCTGGAGATTAGTCAGGTGTTTGTCTAAGCATAGTAATGCAAGTGGCATCTGTGCATGCTAACTTAACAGGGCTCATTATCAAGGTGCTCATTTTTAATTCCTAAAGTCTTATAAGAGACCTTTCATGATATAAATTGTGTGTACAGTGTTCAAAAAACATCACAAGAATGGCTTTGAGTCACGTTGAGGGACAGTGTTAGATTATAATTTGATATGCAAATATCCACATATATTTAGTGATTAATAATAATTAATTTTGGGTGTTGTCTCGCTATTTTTTTTACTTACATGTAGATATCTATTATGTATGTGATACTATACAACACAAGGAGGCCATATATATAGACATTAATTTAATGGTTTTTGTTTCTGTTCCTTCCTTTAATTTTAAGGCAATTTAGGAGGAATTCACAGATACTATTTTTACTAAAGGAATAGTTACCTGAGATCCTTCAAGAGTACCGGTAACATCATCAATGGAACCCCAATCCTCTACGTCATCGTCCCAACCACTACTGAAATCCTCCTTTGTATTTGTCTTTTTAGCATCAACACTTCCCCAGTCATCATCACCTCCCCAGCCACTATAGTCATCTTTAGACAATTTCATAGTCCTGCTTGTTTTACTGGAAACATTTGTTTTTGCACTTAATGAAGATGACGGTATTTTCCCCCAGTCATCACCCCATACATCAGCAATTTCATCTTGTTTTTTCAGTCCTAATTTCATTCCTCCAGTCCTTGAAGGAACTGATCCAGTGCCAGTTTTAGAAGTCAATGCAGGTTTTGACAGCGATGATTTTTGTTTTGTTGTTGTTATATCCTCCCAGCTGTTATCCCATCCCACTGAAATCTGTGGTTCCTCCTTGACAGCAAAACTACTTTTCTTTGTTGTTGATACTTGAGATGGGCTTGAGAAATCCTACAAAAACACAGAATACATGTAGCAAAAAGATGATTTTCTTTCATCAATATGAATATTTTTTAGTTTGTAACTAAATTTGATTACTCAATTTAACAATTAGCACCCAGATTTGTCTAAATATTTGCACTTTCATGTCATCTTATATTTCCAATGCAAACTCAATGTGGTCAAAAGACTAGAATATGAATAAATAGCTGCATCATTCTGCATTGAAGAATGACCTTTGACATGACTGTACAAGTCCAAGATATTAGGTAAACTTACATCCATACTACCCCAGTCGTCATCCTCTTCCCAACCTTCACCATAATCTGAATTAGAATCATGAACCTCTTCTTCAACTTCAATAATTTCTTGCTCCTCTTCTTCCTCTTCGACATCATGGTGTTTTTGAGTGACATCATCGTTATGGATAGATGGTGTTGGTTTATTTGGCTGTTTGTTAGCAGAGGCAGTCATGGCTATAATACAAGGAATTAAGGAGGGATGATAGTGAAAATACCGTAGACCTACATGTAGATTTCTTAAATTTGTCATGGAAGCTCAAAAACACGTAAAGCATTACAGGTTTTGCCGACTGTTCTAAGTTTTTGTCATCTCTGTATTTTTTTCTATTAGAAACACATGTCCAATAAAAGCACATACATTGTATCAACAAAAAATCGTATGCTAGATCGTTGAAACATAAACCTCTTCCATGTATTAAGTGCATTTGCTTCCAACAGAGTAAATACGATAGGATATCACAGTAATAGCAACAACTGCTATTTTTTCATTTATTCACAACTCGAATATCTAATTAATTTATATTTACCTGGTGTTTTTGTGTCTGGTGATTTGGGTTTCTTTGAACCCCTATAAAACTTTGATGTAATTGATGAGACTGCCCATCCTGCCCAACCAGTTGCACTGTGTGTTGTATTGGCAGCAGCATTCACGTCAGACTCTAAAATAGAAATGATATATAGGGAGTGTGAACTCAATTCATCAATTTTGGCTGATAAAGGGAAAATCATACAGTAAACAATTAACCTTAGTAAGACTATTGTAAGCTTGCACGTCTACAATGATAAACATGTCTATCATGCTCGCTGTCTTTCATAACTTCAAATTAATTCTAGGCAAGTAAAATATTGTTTTTTTTGTTGCTCTTTCATGTTTTGTATAGGCCTTTTTATATTTTGTAATTTAAATATTATTAATACATTGCCCTTAGATGCCATTATATACCATTATTATCCGCTACCCATGGAGGCATGTGATGTGTTAATAAATACAAAATATTATGGCTAATAATGAACTTTAAGTAGTTCATTACACAAGCTTTGCCATTGCTCACTATGTCATACCGGTACAAAGTTATCGCTTCTTCTACATTATTGGTCCTTCACTGCCTGAGTTTGATTTTCTGAAATGAAAATACAATGTATATTATTGGCGAATTACAATACTCACCCATTTCAATTGCTTTCTCTGGATGTTTTGAGACTTCTGCTAACTTTTTCAGAAATATGTCTATTGCTTTAAATGCCTAAAAATAAAATTGATAATCTAGTTATTTTCCAAGTTCATCATCAATGGAAAGATGTATTAAGAACATAATAATCTGTTAAATGCTATTTTTTAACAGTGCTTTAAATGAAAGTATGTATATTAATAATAATATACAAATGAGAGCTTACCTGGTCTCTGACTCCCTCATCTGGATCAACAGTGACACTACATAAGGTTGGTAGTACTTTATACGCAATATCCTTCAAGGCATAGTACTTCTGCGTTGATATCATAGCGAGCACACCTGCTGACCTTGCTGGTGGGAACGGATCTTTTAAAGCTCTTTGAAACGCTGATGCCAATACTTTCTGTCGCATCTACAAATGAGCGTTTAACAATAAAATTGATAAATTGAAATTTTGTAATTGAGCAATAGATTCTTCAACAGATCAACTTCAATAGTTATGAACAATTATTATATATTTTAATTATTCTTAGGACAGATAGCTTGAATACAAAACATGTCTTATTATTGAGAGTATACAAAAGTAGTTTGTAATTTGTATGCCCATAGTACTGTTACTGACCTGAGGAGTCAGATGTCCAGAAACCTTACCAATACAAACAGTAGTATTTGTTCTAATTCCAGGCTGAAAACAACAATAGTAATACCGATAGTATAATTATATTTGTTTGTGGTGTCGCAAGTATTTTCCTTAGTATGACTGACAATTTACATACCAATGTTAACTGATGAATAATTTGCATATATACATGTCAGTCATAATTCTCATTAAAATAAATTATCATTATGATATCAAAAGCTTTTTTTGTTTTCCTTGAAAACTAATTTAAGCAAAAGTACCACATATGCATGTAAATGTAAGTAAATTCAGGAAGTGCAAATAAAGGTGTGAGTTCACACAATTTTTTAATAAATTCTGGAAACATGCACTATCAATAAATCTGGGAAATGTGTAGTACGATATTTTTTGAAAAGTAATGGTCCATGCTTGAAAAGTTCTGAGGAGATCGCTGAGTTAGTGATACCAGAAGGTTTAGTGTAATTGTATGGTACAATACATAGTGGTACAAGGCAATGTAGTGCAGTGTAACCAGGAACCCACCTGATCATCTTTTGACTGGAGTCTGGCAAAATGTTTCAATACTTCTACATTGAGGTTTTTTTCATTCAATTTTGGTGCCATTAACAGCATCGCCTTATGTGAATAAAAGCACAGTTTGTCTTAATGAAATATTAGTGTTATATGACCGATGGAGACTATTACATATAATGATTACAGTTGCGAACAAGAATGAGAAGTTTTATATGACCCTTTCCTTGACATTGGAAAGTAACTAATCCAACTAAAAAGCATAACATTATGTATAACAAACAACGATGGATAACATATATAGCACAGAATGACAGAATCTCACAGGAAAAACTGTACACAGTAGGAGGCTCAGCTTTCTTAGAGTAATGAATTCGTAACTAAAAGACACCTACCTTGACAGTGGCCTCCCGAATAGCAGGATTAGTATCCATAAACCCATGGCTGACAGGTGGGAATATCTGATCATTGACAACAGCTGGAGTGAGATGCTCAATAAAATGTTCCATCTGAAAGATAATACAGAAAACATACATACAGTGTTCATTTATGAAGGGTCAGACCACACTGAAAACTAATTTTTTGCAATATAAGGGTAAATGGTATGGGGATATGCTTGATGCAACATCAGTAAACTCAAAACTCTGATCAAACTCAAATATAGCATATGTTATACATTCAGTTACTGTTGTATAACAGTGATATCATACTAAAGGTTTAAAGCAACTAATACATTATACCAATACTGTGCAACTACTTTATTAAATGTATGAACGGTTTACCTGTTGAAGTAATTTAATGCGTGTTGCTCTATCTGTTGATGAAAACATTTTCACAACACATGGCACAATCTTCTTTTGATATTCTTCAGTTTCTAATAGTTTCCCAAGCTGTAATAAATCAAAATAAATTATTTGATTGTTGATAATTAAATATCAAAATCTACACCATGCAACAAGAATCTAACAATTGAAGAATAAATGAGGGAAAAAATGATTTCTATGAATTACCCATCCACTTTTCATTTTCACTGCTTATTGCACTAACTACCGGGGATACTAAAGAAACAATTTTTGACGGGCACCACTCTCCATCCTATGAAGTACTTATGCATAAATTAGAACTAACTAGAACAGTCTATGTCGCTACATAAACTCATACAATCTGTAACTTATGATTGAGTTCATAGATATTTAAGTTTATAAATAATTTATAACCTCTGTGTTGGGTCGGGTCGGGTCGTGTCGAGTCAGGTCAGGTCATTATCAGGTGTCTTTGATGCATACTCACTCTAACCAAGGGTGTTAAGACTGCTGATCCAGCATTGCCATACTCAAATGCCTGTAGAAGTAGCGGAAGTATTTTATATCGACAGAATTCACTTGGAAAATCTTCTAATTCCTCATTGAGTTTGCTGAAAAACTTGGTTTTCTCTGTGGCATCTTTAATCTAAGATTTGATAAGAAGACAAAGTAGCGAGGTTATTCAGGAGAAATTCTTTTGTAGCTGTAATTGGTTCACATAGTGATTCGTTGGTAATATATTTTACTAAATATCTCCACTGTTACTAAAAAAATCACCAAAAATATGCTGAGAAACACTTCGCTCTAATGTTGATATGATTTGTAAATGAACAGTGATTGAAAGCCATGTATTAACAGGAAATCTGTCTAAACAGTTGTCATAGCAACATCCAGATTGTATAAAAGACCTCTGTGAAGCAAACTAGAATTCTCACCTGTATAGACTCAAGAAACAAATTAGTTTCTACAAATCTATTGTTCATAAATCCATTTGGAGAACGGCAGTCTTGAATAAACTTAGATGGGTTCGGCCTTGACAATGGGTTGGCACCCACCAACTCAGCATAGTTGGGTAACAGTGACTTGGGAATCTGTGAAATAAATACATTAAGCAATGTATGAATTGAAAATACAGTCAGGAAAATTCCAGTTAATAATTATTATGTACCAAATACCGATGACAAAATGGAAATTTTTATACTCCTTTTCCAATAATTTAATCCCCGATGGAAACTATAACTTATTCTATCATATTATGATTACAGTCGCGAACAAGTCGACTAACACATCTACAGTACATGGTATATTTGCTTGAAATATGCAGAATAGATTAGAACATATTAGAAATACAAAACATATATGTAGAAATGTGAAGGGAATGATAATTCAGACTTCAAAAGTCTTTAATTAATATACAAATCATCAAGCAAACATGATTGAAATAAATCATCTATAATGTGTTTCACTTTTACAGTTTCTCACCTTTCCCACATTTTTCAGTGATGCTGTTCTTGGTAATGGGCCATTAAAAACTTCCCAAATCAAACAGCCAAGTCCCCACATATCAGCAGCCCTAGAACATACAAGTATACTGTATATAATGAAATAGTAAAACTCCATACATGTTAACTAAAAAACTAGTGTGAAAGATGAATCCTGATTGGTTGTTGATTAGTAAAAGACTTTCCATTGTAGCCCACTCCTAATCCAACCTGACCCTCTTTTGCCCTTAAAATTAAATATGCACTCTTGAGGACAGCAGAAATTATCTAGAGACGTAACAACTAATTAGGATGACAAATTAATTCTACTTGGTTGTTATAGGCATGAAAGGTACACACCTAGTGTGAAACAAGATTTCTGATTGGTTTTTGTAAGCAACTACTGTGAAACAAGGTTTTTGATTGGCTGTTTGTAAGCAACTAGTGTGAAACAAGATTTCTGATTGGTTTTTGTAAGCAACTAGTGTGAAACAAGATTTCTGATTGGTTTTTGTAAGCAACTACTGTGAAACAAGATTTCTGATTGGTTTTTGTAAGCAACTACTGTGAAACAAGGTTTTTGATTGGCTGTTTGTAAGCAACTAGTGTGAAACAAGATTTCTGATTGGTTTTTGTAAGCAACTAGTGTGAAACAAGATTTCTGATTGGTTTTTGTAAGCAACTACTGTGAAACAAGATTTCTGATTGGTTTTTGTAAGCTACTAATGTGAAACAAGATTTCTGATTGGCTGTTGTAAGCAACTAGTAGGAAACATGATTTCTGATTGGTTTTGTAAGCAACTACTGTGGGACATGTATCCCGATCAGTTATTATCATTTGACAATTGAATGATGGAAAAAAAAGATTCTACAACTTTATAGGATTTTAATCAGATTAAGCTGATAACAGAAAGTCAAAAATATTAAAGTTGCCTACCACTTTGAACGTTTGTTTTTCATTCTTTGGGCATCACTTTTCTCGGGTGGGTCATATTTCTCTAATGCCCGCAGTGCTTTGAATGGAGGAAATTGATCAGCTGGGTAAACATAATCAACACCGAACAATTTCCATTCACCAGCTTTATCTACATATATGGACGACATATTGACATTGTTATGGATCAGCTGACAGTCGTTTACAAGGAAACTTAACCCTTTCTATAAAAGAAATCAGAAATGTAATTATCAGCATCCAAGAAACACTTGCTTGAACATAGCTTTAATTTATGCCCCCCCCCATGCTATCTACCGCACATCAACAATACTACAGTGAGCCTCTGAGATGCAATATTGCATGAAATTGCATATATATGCATTCAAATACATGCTGCTGCATCCCCCTCACAATCATTGCAAACCAACCCCAAAATCATTGCAAAATTATTTTGTTTCATATTCAGATTTATCTCATTGTGTGCCATGTACTATAGGCAATTTATTTTAATTAACTTAATGAATTTCCATAATTTCTTTTGAAATTTGTTCACAAACTGGCATTTAAAATTTACATGTCAAATTATTATATTGCATAATTCTGTTATATTGTTTGTTTTACAGTAACGACCACCAGTCTAACACAAGTACTGGCTAAATAAATACAATAATTCACAGATGATGAATGTGACATCCAACACAGTAGAAAAGATGGCTGTTGGTGTGTACTTACCACAATTTGATGCAGTCCCCATGATATTGATAATTCATTTGTTTTAACACTCTGTAATTTTAAATAAGATTCTAATGGTTGTACTTTTTCAGTCACAATATAAAGAGCTTCCTCTGTCTGAAATAAAAAAAAGAAATAAAACACATACTAATGATTCTCATTTTTTTCTTCCTTCTTAAAGACACAAATTTTGACCAATTTTCAATTCAAAATGGCCGCCAGCGTAGGGTTCAACATTAAAGGGAATCGCATTATCATTATCTCCATGGAAACAATTTTAGTACCCGCCTCTTTTTTTTATTTATTCTTTGTCATTTATTTGATGAAACACTATAGCTTAGCAAAATATTGAGAATTTGCTTTGGATTAAACTTGTTAATGTTTTTGCGACCATCCTTATGTAGACGTTGAACACTTATGGCAGGTAATAACACAAATGTCCTTTACTTACTTCTAATCCATCAATGTACATCAGTATATTAGGATGCCTAAGCGTTTTTATCCGTTTAAAAGCAGTTTTTGCAGTCTGGGTCTTGAAAAGATACAAGTACAGGTAAGTTTAGTAATAACAGATAACATGAATTATTACATGAGAAGTATGGTACATCAAATAGTTTATTACCAGTACTAAAAACATCCAAAACTTTTTTGGCTAGTCACACAGCTATTTTCATAGTACTAACATAATAGAACCTGTATAAACCAAATCAAAGAAAGCATAGAAAGAACTCCTGTGTATTGAAGACATATTAAAAATTAATTACTGTAGAATACTTTATTTTTGCTTGGAATTTATTTTCGCTATTTTCGCTGAAGGGATGATTCCGTGAAAATAAAATCCAGCGAATATACTTTTTTTCCTATATTTCACATTAAACTCATGAAAAATCAATGAAAATAAATTCCAAGCAAAACGCCCAAAAAGCCTTTTCAGTGAAAATTAATTCCAGCGAAAATAAAGTATTCCACAGTAGCTGTTCAAACAAGAATCTTGGCAACTAATATTTGTCTGCTATTTGAGATGCACAATGTGATTAACATTATTGAAGTTTAAAATACTTACAGAAAATACATTTGATTTTACATCTATGGTTTTCAGTCTAATTTATTCCAGAGCACCTCGACCACAAGTTCAATTTAATTTTTAAGATATCAGAAATTGGCTAATGATAATTGAATTATCAATATAATTCATTATTCAATATTCATTATAATGTGATGATTAATTCTCAAAAAAATCGTTGGAAAGTTAATTATTATGAAAATTAGGTAATTATTATGGATGTATATAAACTCAAAACTATTTAGAACGTCACATTGTCTTAGAGTAATTATGTACCAAGATGCATTGAAATAAGATAAGTACTTGACATATTGATGGAAAATCTGAAAACTGACTAATTATTATGCAAATCAAGTAAATAATATACAAAGATTTTAATGTAAAACTAATAAGGTCTGTGCAATGTCAAAGACCATCCATGTACCAAGTTTTCTCAGCACGAAATGTTCGATCTGCTTTCTCTTATTAAAATGTTAGTACAAGCTGGGAAAATGTATATACTCTGGCATTGCGGTAAGGCCAAAAAAAAAATTAGCGACCAACCTAAAAGTATGAAATATCGGGTCACGTTTTTTTTTTTCTTTAATAGGCCCAAATATTAAAAACTCACCATTTTAAGCAGTAAAAAAATGTTTTTCGACTTGAGAGCAACATAAGTTTTTTTTTTTTTTTGGCCTAATGCATCAACCTCCACTATGCGTTGCTTGATACAACCACCATACTGCCTTTGTGAATACTTTGCGATATTCTCATAATAACCTCACATCATCTGAACAAAAGCAGCTTAAATGCATTTGTACAGATAATCAATTTCCATGATGTTCCGTAAACATTTGATTGCTGTATTGGCTCCTAATTAAAATAATCCGTTGCAATATTTCAGACAATTATGAATAATGTCAGATTCAGTTTCTTACATGACAGCAATTTATCCAGATCTGTTCTTAGTGCGAGATAAACAGACTAAAATGATTGTTCATAATTTTGAGGTCAAAGGTTAATAGAAAAGAATATGCTTGCACAAGATAAAGCACATAAACAAATCATAATATTTGTAATCAATTTACTTCCTCAGAAAGAAATTGTACATAATAATAAACTATGTAGTACTTCACAGAGATTGGACTTACCTGTGTTTCATTGCTTCCTTTAATGCCATATACAAATACAGACACTGGTTCCCCATTATCCTGTTGACAATACCAGTACATGATTATTTAGATTGCATACAGTGTGTAGAGGCTGTGTGACCAGCCAAGGAATTTGTATTGAGGGTCTCAATTTTGTGCAGTTTTTTTCAAAAAATTCCACAGCCAGTGAGTGCATGAAATATAATATTCTTTTAGGTAGATAATCTACTAGTACATATATAGGTGTTTGAAGTTGCGGCTAGCTATACACATTGTATAATAGAGTATAAAGTTACTACAAAACATTATATATTGTTTTGAGGTTACATTATGAATAATTGAATAACATTAAGAGACTCAAAGGGAGGGGGATGTTACAAAAATATTCTCATAAAAAAAATTCATGCCTCCATGAGTCTGACTGTATCACTCATCCAAGTGTATAAACTGTATTTTAAAATATTGCGGCAGTGACACATGGTTGAAAGCTAAACGAGAAATAGAATAATTTAAATGTGTACAATGTACCTCAATGCTATCATAATTCTTTAAAGTCATATTTATTTGGATCAATACATTAAAATACTAAAAATAATGACTTAATAGAAATGCTTATATAATAATTAACAGCTTGCTCATCGTTGATCGTGGCTGGTATAACTATAGTTGTATAACATATTGTTTACAGGTAGTTGTGCGACTCTATAATAATATAAGTAACAAACATATAAACAAGTAAAGGACATGTGCCAGACAGCTACTATAATGGGCCACGTCATTCACGTGTGTAAAACGACGTGCAGCGAAACCGGAAGTGAAACTGACCTTCCGTTTCCCTTCATGGAGCCTCCAGATTGACTTATCTTCGAGTTCAGTTAAACTGCACTTCTCGCCTATTTCACAAGCTAAGTCTTTAGTCGGATCACGAGAGAAAAATGACCACATCGTAGCGTTGAAATCTACTTGTCCACTTCACTTATGCACAAAAACATTGGACAGCTGGGGATCAGTTTGTTCGTTGCTCGGTTTCTCAAAAGAGGGCGCTATGTACAATGACGAGTACTCGTAATTTTGAAACATTTGTTGGAATTCATATATATAGTACAGTATATTGATTTCTTGAAATTCGAAACTCTCGCAAATTTACTGGGTACTGGAGATAAATAAAAAAAAAAATGTATGTTCGAGAAAGTGTCAGGAATGATATTGAAAAGACCAACAATTTCATACAGAATTTCATCCTAGGCCCCTTAATTGACGCTTGAAAACCAATAATTAGGTCATACTTTCACCTACATTATAATAATTATTATTATTGTTGTTGTTCTGAGTATTGGCATTTTTATCCCTCAAGTGATTACGTAATGCCGTCTAATATCAGCTTTATTATTCATTTTCATCACATACATACCATTTCATATATTACCAGGTAAATACATATGGTATGAATCATACATATAGAAATACATATGGTAGAGAAACATATTGATGAATTTACAGCGCCACATTCATCATTTCTGATTTAACGACGGTGCCAGGATCATTGCGACAGCTAACGAACAAAGGTGTACCATTTAAATTTGGCAGAAAACAGAGAAGTGCAGAGACTCGCCTCGCAAGTGCCGAAACACTAGAATACTTTGATGCAGAAACACAGATAGTCACTGATGCTAGTCGAGTTCTGATTATGACGAGTTCTGATTATGACGAGTTCTGATTATGACGAGTATGATTATGACGAGTTCTGATTATGACGAGTTCTGATTATGACGAGTTCTCATTCATAAACAGCATTGACACTATATAATTGTATGTTATGCTAACAGAAGCTTGACTTAACGTCGCAATAGGGAAGAAATTTATTGTAGAGGACAAAATCATATGTATCTAGTTTTCTGTCAATAATAATTGTTTAATCATTTTTTTGAACGAACTGCGTGAGATAATTGACCTAATTTTAGCCTGGATTTTATTCTATATTTTTGCACCTGAGTATGTCACCGGTTACTGGCCAAATGTTGTATGGGTATATTCAACAAAAAGATTTTGATTGTGAAGTTGTCTGATTTGATATGGATGATGGATAGGTTTGAAATAGTTATTAATATTATGGGCAGAATTATGGTGGATTAAGTCATGGATGAAAGTACAAGTGACTAATTTTTCCTTTTTATAGATATCAGGGATGTTTAATTTTTTGAATAAAGGGGCCGAGTGTTCAGTGAACGAACTAAACGTCATTGCGCGAACTAACATTTTCTGGGTCATATAAATGGTATTTAAGTGTGAGTGATATGTATTACCCCAAACCTCCAGACCATAAGTAATATTCGGCTGTATTAGGGAATTATAAAGCAATATTAAAAGGTTAAGGGGTATGAATTTTCTAAGTTTATATAATAGGCCACACTTTCTAATTATACTGTTGATGAGATCGATGTGACATGAGCAATTAAGATGTTTATCCATTAAAACACCAACAAATGAAACTATCCTGACTTCCTGAACACATTCTCCTCTGATGCTAATTGAGCTAGTTCCATTAGACAAGTTTTGCTTGCTACTAAAAATAATATAATTCGTTTTCTTTTTATTTATGGAAAGTTTGTTGGCATCACACCATAGCAGGACATCATTTAAATGGGAGGTTGCATCATGTAAATTGAGTATGGAATGAGTTGGAGTCGTCAGCAAAGAGGCAACAATTAACAAAAATAGTGGAATTGGGAAGATATATAGAGTAAAAATAATGTTGGGCCTAGAACAGAACCTTGGGGTACCCCGTAATTAATGCTTGTTTTAGATGATGATATTCCATTGCAATGTACATATTGGGACCTATTATGAAGATAATCTTTGACCTATTGAAGTGAGAGCCCCCTAAACCCGTAATGGTCTAACTTTGATAATAACATGTTGTTATTGATTGTATCAAAGGCCTTGCTGAAATCTATAAATATACCTAGCGTGGGCTTTCCCTGGTCAATATTACGTAACAAATGATTTACCAAATTAATTAGGGACAGTTTTGTGCTATGCGTTTTCCTGAATCCGTATTGATGTTTGTGAAGTATATTATATTTTTCAAGATAAGTAGCAAATTGCTGATTCACAATGGTTTCCAATATTTTACTGAAATAGGTCTAGCATTACTAGCATCCTGCTTTTCACCTTTCTTAAAAAATTGGTGTTACCTTGGCAACTTTCAACATATTGGGAAATGAGGAAAAAGATCTGTTAAAAATATGTGTCAAGGGATGAGCAATAATAATATCTGCCTCATCAATTAAAACTATAGGTGGCAAGTTATCCCAGCCACAAGACTTCATTGGGTCCAAGTTATTTAAAAGGTGTGTTACCTTACTCACAGTAGTTGGGTGGCAAAAAATGTATTTACGTTTGGTCGGTCAAGATAGTTTTAAAAGATGTTAGAGGCCGAGGTTTGAGGTAAGCTGTTTGCAATAGTTTCACCAACACTAGCAACATGTGTATTAAAGCCCCGGATAACCTCAATAGGATCAGAAAGAATATGATCGTCGCTATTAACTATAATATTTAGTTGTTCTGGGATTTTGTCAGAATTCTTGTCTTTGCCAAGTAAGAATTCCAGTCTTTTTTAATAGCACTAGTGATCCACTTGTTAGTGCTAGCTTTTGCTTTGATAGTTTTAACTCGGAACGGCGCGTGCGCATCACAAATCCTAGAAAACATCTTAAAAAACGAGTCATATGCTGTGTCTGTGGTATTAAAAGTATTTGATTTATACTAATTCATACACCAAATGCGATGTCAACACATAAAATTGCAAGAGAAGTTGGGAGAAATCTACCTGTAAGCAGTCTATACATTGCCCTAGTAAGCTGTGTGATATTGGAAATTGGTCTTGACAGGTACGAGACTTGTTAACATATCCACGTCAATAGTAGAAAAAGCTGCGTTTGCATCCGATTTATATTATGCAATTCTTTTGTGTTGTCACGTAAGGTATGTACCTTACAAGTGCAAGTGCAACCCTTTTGCGAATAAGAACTCAGTACTACGTCTACTTTTCGTAACAGTAGTGTGGCTGCATTGGTATGATCAACACTACGACAAAGACTGTATGCCTTATGCACCCATGAATAATTTTCATAATTACCGATTACACAAGAATATTACAGAAAAAAGCTATATTTTGCCTTTCATTTGTCTTGAATTATGACTGAAAAAAGCTGAATAAAATTACAAACTATGTAGTGTGTTCACAACTCATGTATGAACAATAAATTTAATAAACATGATTTTACTTGGCAAAATACTGCATTTTTCTGCATAAAAACGAAAGAATTTCACAATGATGAAATGACTTTACCACAGAATGAATCATGTTTGCTTGACTCGCCTATATACACGAAGTTAATAATTAGTCAATAACGATTTACAGTGTCCAAATTCTGTAGTGAAGACAACGTCAATTACACCAGTAGAATTATTTCTTCAAGTGCAGTGAAAGTATGACGCAATGTCCGCGATGATAAACAAAACAGAAAACAATACAAGTTTGCAAATATGCCTGATTTTATTGGGAGATATAAAAGGCATATTCCAGTACAATAAACAGTGTTTTCTTTCCAAACATTACATCACATTACTCTATGATTATAACCTGATTTTCTTTCGCAACGGCCCGGGTATAGTGCCTTGATCCCGAGGTTGAATCAAGCGACCTAACTTGATATGGCAAATGACTAAATATACCTTGATTGGATAGTACCTATAAATGTGGGCGCGAATACCTTGAACGCACAGCTTTGCTGCGTCATACAATAAACAATACGACAATTTCGAATATAAGTGATACACTGAAACAATGGCATTGATTATATCAACTACCCCCATGTATATGATGACTTGTGTGAATAGTTCACATGGGAGGGAGGGAGGTGATGTTTTAACATCGCCTAGAAGCTATTTAGCTATACTTGTATCAAGTATCAGCCTTCTTGAAATTGTAAAGTATCAGTAAATAAACATAATATATAAATGCGAATCAATAAACAATATACCATCATTGAATACTGGTAATATCATGAGCACTGTTCTAAAAAAAAAATGGTTTATCTGATCCTTGATCAAACATTGAAAAACTGACCACATCAATTAAATTGAATACTGACTGGAAACTTATTATGACGTGACACGTGCAGTGCTGAACAAACTCGCCTAATTTGACGATATACTACATTTAAATTGACAAATTTTCCTTGATAATCAATACTCAAAAAATAACTTACATACAAGGCATATACAATAAAAGCGAAAAATATTAACACATAATTTTCCACAATTAACAGTTAAGTTTTAGCACAAATGTAAATGTTTTATCAACAAATACCGAAATACAAATCATGTACCTCCTATACCACTCATTCAGCCAGTTACTGAACACATATTTAACAGGAAGCAAAACTCACTATTCAATAGTTATTCAGCTTCATGAGTACTGTCGGCATTACTCAGCACCAAGCGCATGAAACAACATCGCCACGAAAATACCATAGTATGCCGATTAAATACATGCGCACTGTGAATTTATATCAGGCAGTGTATTAATGAATTATCAGTCTGATAATTTCTCTGTAAAACTATTATTGAATATCCGCTCACGAATATAGTTTGGTGAATGCACCACCAACAACGACAACAGAACTTGCTTTAACCTTTTCACCAACAGTACCCGCTTTTCATCGCAAATTCACAAAATAGTCGCGTTTATAGTCTTCCTTCAGAAGACAAAAATACTCAAAATAATTTTTGAGTAAAAACTGAAAATTGACTGAAATTTCGTCTGTATACTCAAAAATTAGGGTTTATTTCCAGAATTATTGAAGAATACAAAAAAAAAAGTGCCGAAAGTCTCGTGGTGAAAAGGTTATTCATAATGATGGTCTGTAGCTAATCAGCGGGCTGTTGATCGGACTGAGAGCTACTGATCGTACGTCATAGTGTTTCGGATCATGGTACCCCTTTCCGTCACAAGTGGTACACTCAACGTCGCCGTTTTTCCGACCAATAATCCAATTGTAGATAAGTACTAGAGAACCCGTCTGTCCCTGGGGTCCCATAATCCCCAGAAGTGTGGTGAAAAGGCCGAGTGAGAAGACCAGAGAGAAACCGATGGTGGCAAACATGAAGATACCAAACTGCATGAAAAATATAATTTGAGCGAAGAGCATGAACAGTGATGCCCCAAGCGTGGTGGCGGCCCCAGAAACGACTGACACGGCGACATGTTCCAGTGTGTCTTGTAGTCTTCCAAGACGATCTTCCTTCTGTGATAGGTGATATCCCTGAGCAAGATGAACTACGTAGTCGACGGCTAAACCAACGATGATAGACAGATTTAACGATTCCAAAACCTACAAAGAAGAATATATCATTATACTGGAAGCACTAATTGTCATGTGACATGATTAAGAAACTGCAATTGAAATAAGAGTATAATGTACACAGTTAGCGAGTCACAAACATGACGCCGATAGCCATCAGCCATGCACAATACTCACACCAAGTTTCCATCCTGCCATGGGGATGACGCCCACCACGCACACCGTAGTAAGAGCGATTGATACGGTTGCCATGGTGCCCAAGATAATGTTCTGTGTTGCTATGACGAGAACTGGAAAAGCTAAAACTATTCCATATATAATCCCCTTAATGGCTGAGTCGGCTAGCGTCTGTTGAAATTGAAATAAAATGATACACATATTTATCAATTTACTTCACAGTACTACCCGAAAGATAAAGCCTATATATTTCCTTGTTTTTGTTTTATGTGTGAAATATGTACATCATTGAGAGTTGTGATATAACGGTTGCGTCGTGAAAACATACTCGTTATGAATATAATAGTACATCAAATATTGACGAATGTTACCATAGAAACCACAATAACCACATGAATAATTGAGAAACACACTAATTAAACTAAGATTGGTATTTGTGCCTCATGGGAACAAAAATGTGCATACACTGAATTAGATTATTATTATAAAGCACCACAGTTGTCGTGCAGCACGCCTCAGTTACAGCACGAGTCGAACACGACATAGTCGATAAACTTACCAATAAAAAGGGAAATACAATTCAGATACGACATACATGTATTAGCATTAAAATACTTTTTCTATTAATAAATATTTCTATATTTATATGTGTATTTGCGTATTAATACGCATAGGTGACACACATAATTTTGATTTTAAATTATACTAGATGAACGAAATACAGTTTTTGACTTAGGAATAACAATAGAAACAAATTGACTTGAAATGTCATCCTCTGTTATTTTTTTTTCAAATCACTTTCCAAACTAAGTCAAAAGTTTAACGGAACGGATAGAGGTCAGAATGTCCGGTAGCTGTAGATGATGTTTCGTTGCATTGGGTCATTTTCAGCTTGGAGGGCTCTGAGGTACGTTATGACGGTTTTAAAAACTTAAATGATGCCAAACCTGTGTTCATCACACGCATCTCGATGAAACACATTGAACAAGAAAACCTCTCGATCACGACCGTTTATTTTGCAATTTCCATATTTCAGTTATTTTTATAGCATAAATCTCAACATGTTTAGGAGATTAATTTCTGACAAAATTGCAGTGTTTCCTACGCAATTGACATTCATTACATAATGTGTGTTCAAAAACACAATAGAATCAGTCAATTAACGTTCTTGAATGTTAAAGTTAGACTTGTGTGTATATCACAAATTGTACTCACGTCGAATGGCGCATAGACAATAATTAAAGAGGACAGAATGTAATTTTCGAAAAGTACTAATTTTTGATAAAATTTATACGAACATGGGTCTCATTTTTAAAATCAGATTTTTAATTGAGATTTAATTAACCGTCATATACATCAGTGAAAACACGCTTTCTATGAACGCAGTAATAAGACACATTATAACGCGTATATCTTCCGTTATTTTAAAGATATCCAATTATAATTCTAATCATATATCCATATTGCAGTATAATAATTTGTAATCACACTGACAACATTTCACTCACCCAGACCCAATGGTCCTATTACACCCAATCTATGTCATCAATAAGGAAGTACTCAAATGAATAACATTCTGTAAACATTGTGGTCTACATTAAGAAATATTGCCATACGTATGACATAACAACTGCATTCAATTGTGTACGTGTTAACTTTCCAAGGCAATATTACTTTAATCTCCACATTCCAACACCAATAAATATTCTGATTGTATCACTACCACAGCAACTCTGCTATCTCGATTGATTCCTTACATCTCCACAAATTTCTACAGCTCTACAGTTAAGAATGTTCATACCGAGTCAAGCTTATATTGGATTATTTGAACAACCGTGTATTGGCACAATTGCAATGCATGTCACGATTATCATGATAGTAATTTAAAACAAAATTAAATTAAATAAAAAAAAAAAAAACATACAGAATAGACAGTATCAAGGAATGAAGTACATACTTTTTGTACTTTTATCCAGTGCCATAAATTAAAACTGCCTTCACAGGTACACTGGAAACCATTTGAAACTGATGGAGGCATCTTCGCCATCTACAAAAGATAGCACCAGTAATCAAAGTAAACATCAGTAATCAAAGTTAACATCAGTAATCAAAGTAAACATCAGAAATCAAAGTTAACATCGGAAATTAAAGTTAACCTTGCCCTTTGTTACATAATATTATTTCATTTATCAAAGTTTGTTTTAATATGAATACAAACAAGTTGAAACAGCAGTGGAAAAGCAGTCTACAGAAACTCCTTGATTTAGGTATTTATCTTACAAAAACATTGGTGCCTAATTTGAACTGATGAATAGTAAATATACTTGTCTTTCAGAACACTATCAAATACTGTCGCACTCATCTTCAATTTATAGCATTTACCATGTGGAGCTTCAATACAAGCATAGTAATGAGATGGAGTTCATTCATGAACTATGAGTTCAAATATTGTGTTACCATGACATATTTCAAGTACATGGAAAAATAACGGTTTTTGTTTTCTTTCATCACATGCACAATAATATACTATTTCTTCACAGAAATAATCATCTAGAAGTTTGGTGGTTTTGAAGTGAGTTTTAAATTAGTATTATAAAAGCTCTATAA